GTAACGTAACGTAAGTAATTAGTTTACCGTTTACTTACGTTAGTTAACGTAATAGTATTATTACGTAGACGTCTCGTACGACGTAGCTCTCTCTCTCTCTCTCTCTCTCTCTCTCTCTCTCTCTCTCTCTCTGAGAGTGCATGGGCATGTGAGTGCAAATATTAGATATCAGATTTAATCCTTCTGGTGCAATGGCCCTAATTTTATTGAAAATTGAGAAGCTGGAATTTGGTGCAACTAATGCCTTGAAATCACAAATTTTCCAACACAAGAAAAGAAAACAAACTTTATTCACCTGTGGATTTGTTCCCATATCAGGAGCTGGAACATCGGTATTAACACCTATGAGATCGTGTATCTTCTGTGTGAAAACTCTGGTAAGCCGCTCTAGCTCAGAGATGCTTAATTCCCTTGGATCACAGCCAATGCCTCCTTTTGCACCACCATAAGGAATGTTTGCAACTGCTGATTTCCACGTCATTAGCTGGGCGAGAGCGTTAACCTCATCAGGGTCGACCTGCATTGCCAATGGGGTTTGTTAGAGTTAAAAGTGATTAGATTTCTATAATCATTTCCTTTGAAGTGACGGGAGTTCTATAATTGTTTCCACACAAGCTCTTTTCTGAACCCTAAGTGATAGATCTTTGTTCTTGTCCACTCGGAAAAAAAAAAAGAAAAAAGAAAATTGGACTTCCGGATGAGATAAAATTGGACTCCATACCCAAAGCATAATTGCTTTTTGACAATATTTTCATATTACAAGAAGAACAAACCATGGATTAGAGAACAAACCTCAGGGTGGTATCTGATCCCACCTTTCATTGGGCCCCTAGCATTGTCATGTTGCACTCTGAATCCTACGTAAGATACTAAAGTACCATCATCCTTTGGTATGGTACACTCCACCTGCATGAATTCATTCATCCACAACGAAGGGAGAAATTGCAAGAAGCCAAGACCAAAGCAAATTATACATTATACTTTAGAAACAAATACCAGTCCTAAATTCAACAAAATGATTTTAGATATGATCCCGATTCCTGGTCAATGAAAACCATCCTAGATTACTGGAGACAAATAGAAATTCATAGATTTGTACCATGAGAAAACAGAACAAGCTTTTCAATGCACCTTCACCATTCAACTGACCACTTTTAAAGAAATAAACAGCACCCATTTTCTCTAATGATCCCATTTTTTCTAAGATTCCAATCATGAAATAAATCTTCACTGCATCTCTACAATCTAGGAGAAACTATGCTAAACCTTACACCAAAATTTCTACTGTCCTTTCCTCAATCTCAGAGTTATTTTCTATTTCCAAATTTTATATAGCTGCACTAATTTGCCAACTATACCTCATTCACCATATCAGAAATACCCAATGAGAAATAAACAAGGATATTGGGCCATTACAAGAATAACAAAAGAAATGCCTAGTGAAGCTAATGGCTAAGAGGAAAAGGGAATAATGGAAAATAAAAGAAACAAAACCAGATACCCAGAGAAGTACCTAAGTCACATAAGTTAAAAGAAAAAAAAAATTGTTTTTATTACCTTGATTTCTCTGAAAGGAATGAGCAAACTCTTTTCAAGCTTGGAGTCGAGCCCTAGAAGCCGGGATGCAAGTTTGAAATTTCTGTTGGTTGCAGCTAAAGCATTCATGGCTGGTACTTCTAGGAATAGGGAACTCAAAAACTAAGAATTAGCTTTAAGATGGTTGAATCACACCTGAAGTTTAATCCAAAAACCAAGGGAAAGTCATAAAAATCCCCAATTTGGTGAGGGAACAAAGTAATAGGCAATGAATAAGTTGAAACTCTTGCAGGATAATTGTTGTAAATTGATTTTCTTCTCACTTATAATAAATCAGAAAATCATTTATTCAATAATGTAAAAAAATATGAAATCAAAGGATGTCCAGGATGTTGAAGAACTTCACAATTACAGAAGGAGAAGGTAAACTTTAAAAAATATGGCCAAATTTTGGGAAAAATCAAATTTCAATATCAAATAATTTGAAGCTTTTTTTTTTTTAAAAAAAATCCAAATCAGAAATCAGTACCCCAAAAGATGAGCACAAAAAACTAAAACACTCCGAAATACCATATCTTGAATAACTCACCAATTTAACCAGCCTTTGGCCCTAAAAGTCCAACCTAACAATAAAGCCAAGTGGGTAGGCCCTTATCGACTTTCATGCAATGGGTCAAGCTTATCCAATTTTCAGTGTGATGAAGCCTTAAAAAAATGGTTGAGTGTAATGTATTGATACATAAAGTTGCACTTTACAACATGCTGCTGTTTGTTAAAAAAAAGTGTGCTCAAGACTCTCTGTCTCTATCCCTGAAAGAGAAGTGAGGCAGTAGTGACACTCTCTTCCTCTCTGTCAATGAGAAGTGAGGCAGTAGTGAGAGAGAGTGCACTTGGGGCTGGATTCAAAGAAAAATTCAATAAAAAGGAAGTATAATTTGTCATTTCTAGGTGGTTTATGGAAAACAAATCCTTACATGGTAATCCCTCAAAATACATGACTCTAGTCAAATCAGCCAAAACTGGCGGAAGTGGTCGCTCTTGTTTTTCCCTCTTCAAAATTGTGAACTCAAATTCTCCTTTGGCTAAGAAGTGTCATTTTTGTACGTAAAAAGGAAATCTAGGTCTTTTGTTTTGAAAGCAAGCAGGATTCCAACCCCAACCCACTGGGGAAGAGGAGACCATCCTGAAATTTGGAAGCACCACAAAAGAGCAGAAAAGAAGAAGACAAAAACAAAACCATGTCTTATCTTCAGGAAGTACAGCCGCACATGTCTTATCTTCAGGAAGTACAGCCGCACCAAAAAGGAGGACTAGATTAAAAGTTGGCCCCTCATTTGCTGAAAAGTTTCGTATGACAGAATTGTATTTTGTTTTTATACAAAATGAAAAAGGGGTGGAACAAATGTCTTCTATAATATAACAAGCTAAACAAAGCCTTCCCAGCTAGCTTAAATTGGAATATATATATATATATATTATCAATGAAATAGGAAAATAAATTTAGCCCAAGGAAAAAAAAAATGAAAATATTTAGTTTTGTTTTTTATTGGAACTAAACAGGAATGTCGATTGGGGAGCTGAGGATAAAAAGGAAATCATGGGCAAGGACTTCGGACTAGAGGATAAAAAAGAAAACTTTTGGCTTTCACTAATCCAAGCTTTGTAAAGCCCAATGCATTTCTCAAATAGATCTCCATTTGATTATTTAATTTCTGAACATTCTGAATTCCAGAAGGCCAAACCAAAGGATTGATGCAAAGAGGCAGAAACCATGAGAAATAACTCTGAAAGACAACAGAAAGCATGGCCTTTAAGGGGCTGAAACCATAAAAAGCACAAGTGGAAACAGGCAAAAGAAAGATGGGTTCTTGTCTAACAAAGTTCTTACCTGAAAATTCCCCAAATTGTTCAGGAGTTAGGACTTGAAGCAGTTGATTTATAGAATAACTCTGAGTTTCTAGCCTCCACCAAATGGAGAGAGAGCCTAAGGTCAAAGTTCTCATTAAAAATTATACAAAACCCACAAATGGGTCAGTCGTCATAAAGAAATGGAGAAAAATGACACAGACACACCTCAATCTTTATCTTGGGTTTTCTAAAGACCCAGAACTTGCACACGACTTCCACGTGCTTTGAGGGATTAATTGCAATGGTTGTCATAATTTATCATAAAAAAAAATGGCCATGGAAGCCTCTCAAAAAAATTACTAAAATAAAATATTCAGAGAAGTTACCTAGTAATTATTCAGAATGATAAATCGTGGCAAAGCAGTGTTTCAGAAAATCAATAAATAAAATACATACATTTTGGGTATTGTAAATCACTAAATGAACATTCAAGATGAATACTTCACTGAATAAAACCAAAATTGAAAGTTCCCATTTTTTAATAGGGAAACTACGATGAAGTTTCGCTGCCCATTCCTCATCTGGATAAGGTAATGATAATTTTTCTTCTAAGATGATCTGTACCATTATCTCTTTCTCTCACTCTTAAGATGATCTTTACCATTACGTCTCTCTCTCACTCAAAAGAATTTGAAGGTATAAAGCATAATGTCATAAACACAAGCTGGACCTCACTCCAAAATAAATGTACATCTAGGGGAAATGGGACTAATGTGGCTGCAAGACGCCTGAAAAAAATTATTAGGGCAAAAAACTAATACGAAATATTCCATAGAAAACCAAAACGCAAATATGGAAAAAAAAAAATTGAGAAAAATGGAACAAAGAGTAAAAGCGAAAAAATCAAACATAAAATATTTATTTATCATAGTAGAATAGAAACTTTAGCCTAGAAATGCAGAGCTATCTCTAAAAATTTGAGACTTGGTGTTAACCCACTTAGAGAGAGAGATTCCAAACACATTAACACACTAGAACGCAGAGAGCGAGAGACCTGAGATTCCAATTTCCGAAAACATTAACACATTAGAATGAAGAGAGAGAGAACAAAACGAGAATCCATAATTCCATATGGAAGGAACGCAGCGAGAGAGAGAGAACAAAACGAGAATCCATAATTCCATATGGAAGGAACGCAGCGAGAGAGAGAGCAAAACGAGAATCCATAATTCCATATGGATCAACACATAGGAACGCAGAGAGAGAGAATGAGCAAACCAGAGAGTACAAAGTCCAAACACATTGACAAATAACAGACAGATGGAGACAGGGAGAGAGAGAAAGATCGTACACATTTTGAATGATTGAAACAACAGAGAGTGGCAGACGCAGAAGGATCGAGCAAAAGTCCATACCAGAAGAGCAAAAGCTCGAACCAGGGCTCAAAGATCAGCAATCTCCACTGGTTCAAACATCCAATCCGGAATGAAAACCGCGAAAACCCTGCAAACCGATTTATACTCGAATCAAAAGCAACAGTAGAAAGCGAAAGCACGCCACAGTAGAGTAGACATTCGAGTACCAGAATATGATGCGGTTTCAGATATTGCTCCTTGCTTACAGGGAGAGCATTACGAGAGCAAATGACGAATAATCAGATGCTTTTCCCACTATTCGATCCTTCGCCACAGTTGATTTATCACAAAGTTTTTGAATCTGGATCAGGTTCCTTACTGCACGCCATTAAAGAACCTTTGTGAGCTCGACAAATGGGGAACATTTGCTGATTTCATACATTATTGTGTTTTTGAGCTCAAAATAGAGGTTTTCGCCATTATTGGACAGTATCAGGTGAATCAAGTTCTTTGTTTTTATTTCTTTTAGGCAACATAGAGAGAGAGAGAGACAGGTGGGATATCAATGAGAATGAGAGAGTACAAAGAGAGAGAGTGATGGATATGGGAGAGAGAGAGAGGAGGGAGAAGATAGAGAGTGAAAGGAGAGAGAGAGGAGGAGAAGATAGAGAGAGAAGGAGAGAGAGAGGAGAGAGAAGATAGAGAGAGAGGAGAGAGAAGATAGAGAGAGAGGAGAGAGAAGATAGAGA